TAAAGACAGTCAGGGAAGAATTGCAGGCACACAGTGCATCAGAGGGAATTGTTCAATCCCTGTGAGATAACCAGATGCTACAGGGGTGTTTCTGCCATTCCACAAAAGAAAAAAAAAATATAAAAAAATGATGGGATATTTGGTGAGATTCACAATAATAACAGAGCAGGACAGGGAAGCAAAGCATACAAGAGCATCTCCACTTTGAGAATCAATAACCCCTAAGTTAGAATGAGCAGTGACTGAACAACATTTCCTCTGGTACTGGGCATCACAGACTTTATTTTCAAGTCCTAAGAATTCTAGACAGTCTTTGCTGTAAAGAAGAGATGAAGATGTGAATACAAATCGTGGTGGTGAACAAAGAGGTCATATGTTCAGGCATTAGGCAGGATAGTAGGGCTCAGGTGGTGCAAGCTGTACCACAAATTGATCTTAACCACACTTTTGCAAAGGAAGAAACACCTATCTCTAAAGACAATAAAACCAACATTTTAGCAGAACTCACCTTTTCTTATTTTATCTCTCTTTTAAAACTACCCAAAGTAGGGTAAGCAGATACATCCAGGTTTGGGGGTTTTTTGGTGAAGATTGATGAAAGGAACAAAAGGTCAAAAGGCAAATCAGTACTGACAGTTTGGGTGCCTGACTGCTTACACTGAGCACTAGAAACACAGCATTCATGACAGGAACAGGGGGGACTGGGGATGCTCAGTCAAGAGCAGGTTCAACATGGGTACACCACAATGAAAGGCCAGAATTCATTACACACCGGGATGAAACAATTTTCCATACCAAAGGAAAACTTAGTCAAAGATAGGAAAGAGGGAATATATTAGCTAGACAGTTTGACTAACAGAAACTCCCAAGTTTTGATTTATGTTCTATACATTATAAATAATGTTTTAGTTAACAAACTTTCCTACCTGCTCCTGCAAAAAGTTATTGTATACATATATTGTATACATAGTCTCAACCTTTACATGTCTTCTCAGTTTCAGGCTTCACAGCAAGAGGCATTTGGAGCTTTGAGAGTAATTATGTTATAGATACTGTAGCCTGTTAGCTACTAGGAAATTTGGTGAAGTTCTAGAAATGGGAAATAGAAATTAAAATATGAAAAACCATTAGAAAATGAGCTGGGGCCTTATAGAAGCAATGAAAATAAAATAAGCTCCACCACAATTAGAAATGAGCCAACTGCTTGATTTCCTAGGGTGAGGTAAACTTATATTAATAGATCAAGAGATAAAAAGGTGACCTCCTCTCAACAAGGATGGTCCTCTCCTGGAATTTCAGTTCCTACTTGGCTTTCCAGCTGCAGGTGCTTCAAGATGCCCATTAAGAAGAAAACATGCCAGTTTTCCATGAGTTAAGGTTTTGTCTCAGAAGTAAAAACACCTCTTTGTGACATCATAACCTTAGATTACTCCCTTCATCTGTCATTTAGAGCTCCTAAGTGATAAATGTTGCATTACAACCAGAAATAAAATTTATTATAATTTTCTACTGCACTTCTTACACTTGTGTGTATTTTCTTGGCTTGCTATAAGTTATCAGAGGTACTGCTAAAAGACAAAAAACGAGGACTGTAAATAAGATCAAGGAATATTTAGTCCAAAGAAGGGGAAAATTTTTTGAAAGTGGTGCGGTGTTGGAAGAGGTGAAGCTGCGTGGTCTCCACCCCAAGAGATTTCAAAATGCTTGTGCAATTTGATCTGGCTTTCAAGCCAGCTCTGCTGTGAGCAGAGAAGAGGTCAAAGGACAACCAATTAATTCTAAAATCATGTTATTAAAACTTTTATTAATATCCAATAGCATGTAAAAATATGAAATCTCCTTTCTTTATGCAAGGTCATAGAACTCCTAGGGAGCATCCTCCCTGTCTCTGGGTCAACAGTAGCATCACCGCAGAACTTGCTAAAAACTGAGTTTGAACTCATCTTCATCTGAGAAAAATCACCAAAAACAGAAGAAAATCACTAAGCCAAAGATGTTTTTATAGCATTTTTTGTATTACAGTGCAAGGATTGAGAGGAACTACTGTTGGTAAGTGCATTCTTACGAAAAAGTCACAAAAGAGAAACTCCTCCCTAGTTAAAACCAATACTTAAATTAGGATGACAGAAAAGGTGTGTTACAACACACAGACCTCCAGAGCTCTGCTCATTCTGAAACTGCAGGTTTCATTTTTCACTTCTTAATACATCCCTCAGGCCTTCCTGAGATGACTGAGGTACAGTACTTTTCATTCATCATTTTCAGCACTTTTAGCCTGAGATATCTGATAGCAAATAATTCACATTTTCATAAGTAACTGCTTATAATCCTCTTCATGTGGGTTAAAAGGAAACAAAAAAAAAATGAAATTCATATTTGGACATTCATGTGCTTTTGACAATAAGGCACTGCATTAGGCAGACTGTGTTTCAAACAATGCACTTTTATATCTGGATGTGCACTGAGAGATGAGGTGTTGTAACATCTTACAAATCAAACTTCAATTCACACTGTATTACTTGCACAGCCCGCACTATGTATTTCTTTATAGTCTTTAACTGAAATTGTTCTGCTGTAGAATAGAAATATGTAACACACACTGTGTTCTTATTTGGTGAAACCTCCCTTACTCGCAGCTGTATATCTTTTACAAAAAAAATTTGCTTTTCTTATAGCCCAAAGTGGTCCACAAAGCCAGAGAAGGATATTTTTACAGATTAAGAGACAGGAGTGAATGGAATTGTTGGTGAATATTATAACGGTCCTTTATTTCCTTTTGTTATTAAGAACTTTAAAATTTTCCAAGACTGACTATGCAGTTAAATTCCCTGAGGATTACAGACGTTAGAAGAGAATCTCCAGTCTGTACTAAGAGTGAGCATAATAAATATGTGCTTCCTGTCTTTGGTGTGCAATCACTTGGGGACTGGCCACAATTGTGTGGTCAGAAGGAAGGTGCTGAGACACCAGGGATAACCTACAATTCTACAGTGCCACATCTAATCTTCCAGCATAGATACTTGAGCTAAAGAATGACTTTCAGTTTGCATTCCTACTGAATAAGAGTGAAACAGTAATAGTTAAATAAATGTTGCAAGCTGTATTTAAAAATTAGCAGTGTACTTCAACAGAGTTAATGTATTTGAAAACAGCAGGCAGGACAGGCTTCAAGTAAAAAGAAAGATAAATGCTACTTTGTCTGTCCATCAAGGCCTGAATTTAAACTGAAGTTGCACCAGTAAAAGAAACAGGAAAAAAAAAAAGTTGAGTATAATCTAAGCAATCTAAGAAAGGAAGGTCACAATAAATTACCAAAAAGCACAAAGTGTGACTGATGTCTGCCAAGGGAGTAAGTACCCACATCAAGGCTGAGCTCAGATACCCCCATGGCACAAAAGTGAAGAAACCCACTTCACTGGCAGAAAGAGAGGGGTGGCCATTCTCCAGGTACATCTACACTGAAGTTCTAACATTACCCAGGAAATAAAAACCACATTTAGTTTAGTGGTAGCAGTCAAACTTGCTGTCAAGCAAAATATGGAAGATAAAAGCAAGAAAAGTCATCTCTGAGAACAGACAATCAATTGCACATGTCTGGTCTTCTTTTTGTTTCTCACAGAAGTTTAAACCACAGGATTTCTATGAAATCATATCAGCACAGTGAAACATTATAATGGAGACAGCAAAATACAAATGAAGATGAAGTGTAAGCAGATGTACCTCTATTTTTAACTCAGCTGAACTGTCAGGTCTGCTAGAACTTGAGAATTCCTCTAGCCAGTCATAGTTTAGTTTAACACTTGTAATACTTACTAACAGCACAGCAGGTTTTGTAATCTCATTCTGAGTTTACCTGTTCCATACAGGAGCTTGGCCCAGAGTAACTGCCATACAAAAGGTACATAAATTTTGCACAAGACCTTTTAAGCATAAAAAGAGGAAATTTCAAAGCTTGCAGAACCTCAGTAGGGTTTGATGGTCTCACTTCCACTTGCCAGTTTGCAACATCTTGCTCCCAATAAGGAGCAACTCCTCTCACATTAAAAGTTAGTGCTTAACTCTTTGAAAAACTACATGCAGTATTTCAGCTTTAGCTCAAAATATTAAAAAAATTTTTACAAAGCTTATTGACTATCCATATTACCAACAGCAGCTTTTGCTGGCAATCACACAGGGGCTCCAAAATGATTGGAGTTTGATTATTCACAAGACAAATGGTAACAAATGCCATCTTTCTTAGATATACAAATTATTTTAAAACTGATATTTGTTGAGGTTTTCTCTATTTCTTAATATCCTAATTCATGCCTTCCTAGATAGACATCTTATAAAAGTATTCCTACTCAGCAGTTTATTCAATTATTTTTCTTCATTCAGTATTTATAGTACAAACAAAATACAATACAACAATTGTTTTGTTTTGGCTTTCTTTTAGTTATTGTGGGAAATCCTTAAAAATCATGACTGGTTTGTTTTGTCTTATTTTAAAGCCAACATCTTCTATGTTAGTAAAGAAAAAATTTATAAATATACAGAAAAAAACCCACTGGGAACACATATGGATGTGTTCAGATGAATAAAACTTGTAAAACCAGGAGTAAAAAAATCAAATCAATCTCAAAACTGTCAAATACTTTCACACTGATTCATGATGTGAACACCAGCTTCTGATTATTTGCCAGAGTTTATGGCCATACCCTCCAATAAAAATTCACCAATGTAAACGGGAATTCCTCTCCTTTGAACAAATCAATACCTAAAAAAAAAAATAAAACTGAAGCATGATGTTTTTCCAGGAATAAGCACTATACAAAACACAGGTAAAATTGTTGAGTGTATGTTTGTTACAGTAAATTATCATCAGAGCCACAAAAAACACAGTGACAACATTATTTTCAATGTTCTGATCAATCCAAGATTTCATTTGCTGAAGTGGAAATGAATTAATCTGCATCACCTCAGAACCAGGTTCCTTAGTGTTTTATACAAGTCCACATTACCTTATGAGATCAATAGGCTGAAACTTGTAAAACACTCCATATCTTGCCCATTCCTGATACAGCAACTGAAGAAAGGGAAAAAAAAAAAAAAAGAAACTGAAAATTAACTTGAAACAAGTAATCCCTTCTGTTTTCCCAAACTTCTAAGACTTAAAAATATTTCCTGCACTCCTGGGGTTGCTAAACCCAATAGAGCCCATAGAAAAGCCACTTTTGTCCCCATGCTGGGGACATCACAAAAAACCCATGTCTGCTGTTGGACATGCAGATTCACCCACAGCTCACAGCTCAAAGGAAGGACCAGATTCTACAGAAACTTCTTGCACTGGGAGGAATCTAGCTGCAATAGGAGCAGGGATGAAAGGAAACCTTGCAGGACCTGGGGTAGATTGATCACAACACACTCAACTGAAACAGGCAAAGAATTTGAGATGGTCTTGCTTATTCCCTCTTCCATGATTTGTGTGACACAATAAAAGGATTGTCCTGGCTGCCATACTGATATTTTCATATGAATACTTGCTCTTGCCTATTCAAAATCACCCCTTGCCATTACCCCCTAGCACTACCTACAAAATATTAGTCATATTAGTATGATTGTATTGATATGATTAGTATTATTAGTATCAAATTAGTATTTATTTCCATAAACAATCATACTAATAAATACATTCACTCAAATGTGCAAAAGAAGAAAATTAAAACTCTTGCATTCTTAAAACTCCCCAAAGGCTGCTTTGAACACAGCTACAGAACGGAATTTGAAGAGCAAAAAGAAAGTTCTGTCCAAAACAGCATTCCATTTAGGAACAGGTACTTTCTGTAAGTTTATAAGAATTCTCTAATCTGCTTCTAATTATAGGGATGCTGCTCTAGTATATGACAACAGTGGATTTCCCAGGTGGGTTACAAAGCTGTCATGGATTTTTAATGTCAAACATAGAGATAGCAATGAAGGGTAACAAGTTGCCAGTGGGCCAAAAGCTGAAAGACTAAAGCAGTGTTTATACTCAGGGTGAGTTATTATCATTCTGCTGCTCAATACCTTTGTTAAAAAGATTTTTTTTAAGAGTAGAAATCACACTGAAGCTGGGAAATTCCTTTATTCTTAGGAAAAAACTGAAACCCTCTCAGTCTTAGGTTTTCATTGCAGATTTCTAATTCTCATAGGATGGGACAAAAGTGTGTCACTGTGCATTTTCTCCAAGGAAATCCTGAAGAAGATCAATAAGGATTAACCTTTTATGTTATAAACTGGTACATAAACCTTAATTACTTGTGCTGCCCTGTTGGCTTAAGTACCCCATTAGGACTCAGTTCATTTTTGGGGTTTTTACAAGAGAAAATTGAATTCAAAGATATAGATAAGTTAAAGTGGGCAAAAGAAATTTAAAAAAGCTTAAAAATGCCTTCCTTTCTTTTAAACCTGATCAGGGTTCTTCAGGAAATTAAACACTGAGACTATTAGATTCAGATAGAAAACAGATGATGTTATGCATAGGAATACTACAGAAGATCCAAGGCCTAGGCAGCAGGGACATATGTGAATAATCAATGAAGTATTTCTGGAAAGAAGCTTTTATGTTTTTAATACTTAACACTTCATAACTGAGCCTAATAGGCAGAATAAAAAGAGGGCAGCACAAAATGCAACTAATTGGGGGAATATTTTTCCAGACACTGATTCTTCTAGGCCCTCTTCCCCCCCATTTCACAGTACCCAATCTTCCTCCATTGACTAACGTTCATTTAGTTTTTTTCCCTAAAATTTTTGCTTTCCAAGTCAGTAATCTATAGAGCTGCCTCTCAGAGAAAATTCTGCAAGTCCAGAGCAGACAATTCCTTCACAAACATAAAGTTCAAAGTGACAGACACAAACAAAAAGCTTCTTCTACAGTTTGTTTTCTAACTTGGTTTTGCTTACCAAAGTTCATACACTAAATTAAATTGTACATGGCACATGAAGACATCTAGTGGCTGAATGGCAACATTATTTACCAAAAACTAGAAAGATTGTGTTTCCAAATTTTACTAATTTGGCATTGTAGAAATCAGATTTGTTTGTATAACCTCCATTTGTATGAACTCAGTCTTCATAGCACAGTAAATATTGAAGGTTTCCAAACATTTCCTTTTTCTTCATTCTTTCCTCTCCCCCTTTCTTTCCCTACAATTTTCCCTCTGCATTTCCTATCCTATTCTTTGCATATCAAGGAAAACAAAATGAGCAAACACTAGAGAACAATATGGAAAGGATCTTAATAGTTACTTATTAGTAATCTATAGATATAAATATATTATTTACTAGTAATTAAATGTTTTTTTCCCATTTCTAAAAGTAAGCGGATATATTAAACACAGTTTGAATTCACACTGTTTCTCTTGGGGACTGATCTATTTTTTAGTGTCCTTTGATAGCTAAAAACTTTATTTACAAAATAACTGGAAGCAGAGTTTTTGAAATTGCATGCTATTTAGTTGAATGCACAATCAAATTATAAGTACAACTATGTTTTATTTTATTAACCACTGCTCTCTAGGAGCATTTGGTTAGGAAAATAAAATTATTGTATGAGTTATTTAACAATTTCAGCTTCCTGACAGGTTGAAAAACTTGTCTATGTATGCAGAGAGAAATTGGAAGCACTTCAAGATGTAAATTTCAAATTAAATTAAGTGGCATGCTTCATAAGAAGACAATATAAAAGTCTTGCAAAAACATTTTTATATGCCAAAATAGAGGAAAATATGTAATTCAAAAAACACGCATTTGTTAAAACATCTACTTGTTCGTGTAACAGTTAATGCTTTACAATGAGATGTAGAACATCATTTATTATATTAAAGATAATATGAAATAAATTTTGCAGTGTATTTTACCTTTCTTTCATTCATGTCATCATTTTGGCCTACATAGTCACCCTGCAGAAAAAAAATAATAGCTTATGTAAAAGCAGAAAAAACTCAAGAAAAGTTTAGTTGCTTGTTCCTACCTCGTTGATTTTACTTTTAGATCACAACTTGAAATGTACTTATATAAGAGTTTTCATATTAGAATCACACTTAGAAGAGATTTTCAATGTCAAAGACAGCAAATAATAATGTCTACAAATGGATGTCTCCCAAATGACACCAGCAGAGAACTGGATTTTTAATAGTGCATACGTACATCATGAAGTGGGTAGGCTGCATCATAAACATTGTTTGCTATTAACGTGCCAATGCCTAAAAGAAGAAGAAAAATTCAGGTGGTCAACAGGCACATCTGAACAGAAAGCATTATTACAGATTTCATGACATTCCAGAGGGGACAGAGCTGTGTAACTGACAATATTCAGAATGAGAATAGAGCAACATAGGAGTTTCTGGCTGTGGAAAACATTTTTCAGAGAAACTCATTTCTATAAAGTGCTTTTTCTTCAGTGAATAGCACAGTGCAAGGACTCTTCTGACCACTTTCTCACCCTGATAGCCACGTGACTGAGGAGCAAAGCATCCAGAAGTAATTTCTGAATCTTTACAATGGTCAGAACCACAGATCCCCTCTGGCCAACAATTAAAAATGCCCCCCAAAAAAAAAGCTTTCACAGAAGTTTGTGGTTATGAAATCACAGAATGGTTTGGGTTGGTAGGGATCTTAAAGATCAGCCAGTTCCTGTTCCCCTGCCATGGGCAGGGACACCTTCCACTATACCAGGTTTCTCAGTGCCCTTGGCCTTGGGCACTTCCAGGGAGTTCAGTTTAGCAAGGGAATTCCCAGCACTGACTGCAGCACCTGTACACAGACATATGGGCACCACTTGCTCTCAAGACCTGCAACTCTTATAGCAATTCCATCTTCAGTCCCTGGAGGTGAAAACAATTAATTGTTCCATAAAAAGGCAACCAAAGATGAGTAATTTCTAATAATTAGTTTTGCATGGGTGTGTGTATATATATATATATATATATATATATAAAATTAGATAAATTAGAGAAATAATTAGAAACATATATATATAATATATATTTCTAATAATTAGTTTTATATATATAAATTAAATATAAATATAAGTTTTATATATGTAAATTTATTCCAGGCCTCTCTGCTTTCAATGCCCAGAAAAAAAGTAACCAGCTATCATGTCTTTAGTGATGAAAAACATTCCATAGTCAAATTACACATTGTCATGAAATATTTGGGAAAAACCTTCTGGTCAGAGATGCTAGATATGAGGTAACAATAAATGTCTCCCTTGATACAAAGACAAGTGCAACTACATGCATTCATAGAATCAGGAAATTATGCTTGGATAGTGTTAAGCCTGCTCCTGAAAACATTCAATATTTGGAAGTTTACAGTGGTTCAGAGTTATGCTAGAAGAAAATAAGCTTTCCTTATATAATATCATAGGAGCAGAATCAGATTCAGCCTTATACAGATGTAAAAAAATCCATAAGCAAATGTGTTTGAAGTATTGTTATTTTCATAAAACAGGTTTATAAAACTAAAGACTGCTATAAGCACTTCCAACATCACAGGCACATCCTGCCTCTTGTGCAAAATAATAAACTCTAACAAAAAAAAAAAAAAAAATTGTTTAAAAAAAATCTTTTAAACCTCTCCTGATGATTGGTTTTAAGCTTAAGACCAGTGAGATGGGAAAGCCTTAGTGGCGTATGAAACAGAGGTCTTTTGGGGGAGGCACTCAGAACACCAAAGAAATAAATGAATTTAGGTCAAACATGATGCACAATCCTGTTTTGGCTACAGACCAGAAAGATGAAAAGGACGGGAATGTTAAAACAATTATTTCATGTCAAATGAGTTCTTGAGCTGACCTGAGTTTGAAGCACATCAGGCTGGACATTCACACTAGAGTTAAAAGATTCCTGAAAAATTATTACTAGTCCTTTGATCTCTAATGATGGCTTTTATTCCACTATAAACCAGAACAAGTTATTAAGGAAAACCTTAAGTAAGAGGCAAGTATGTCCATTGGCAAAGTGCTCTATCCCTTCCTACTCTGTCCTTGAGCTTCTGTCTCCCCAGCAAATTCCAAAGTCTCCAGGAGGGTTCCCAGCAGTCCAGAAAAATAAGGCAGCATTCCCATCTATTGTCCCACTGGAGACTTTTGAGTAGATCAAAACACAGAACATCAAGTAAACAGTTCAAAAAGCAGCACCTGCCAAACAGTGTTTTAGAAATCGAGAATGCCTCACATTTTTAAAACCATATTTTCAGCTCTTTTAATATGAAACAGTGTGGCAGTCTTAAATTTAAAAGTTTGTTCTAGGAAAAGACTAGTGGTTTTGGTTGAAAAAGAAAAATAATTTTGTGTGGCTTTCATTTTGTTATGCTTTTCATGTAATTATTTTTTAAAAAAATATATCTCCTGTTCAAGGAAACCCAAATTAATCTATTTTCCTATACCAAAAACATGTCTTATGGAGCTTCCCTGCCCAAAATCACACCAGGACTGTGCATAATCTTGCTGCAGCACATTATTTGACTGAAATATTACCCTTGGACATCGTGATCTGCCCATAGGTGGTCAAGCTTACAGGAAGATTTACAGAAAGTATGTCAGGGAGCACCATCACTTCTTTTCCACTGGGGAGATATGTGCCATGATATCACAATGGGTGAGAGAAAAGAGTAGAGAGAAGAGAATATGTACACCTTTATAAACTCTGAACCTCAAGAAAATTAAATAAATTCTGAACCTCAAGTTCCAAATATTTCAGCATTATCCCAAAAGTATCTTCAAAACATATTTAAGTCATATATTTCACTAGGCAGCTCAGGGAGGTAACTTTTAAAGCCAAAGCAATAAAAATAACCTGGAAAGGTGAATTATTTAATTGAAATGGCAAGAAAAATACAGTTCTGCAAGAAATAATACAACATATTGCAGTTGACATCTGTATTTTACAAAGCAGATCATACAGTAATCAAATCTAATTTTATAACAATTCACAAAATGTGAGTTATGTGCCAGATGCTGCACCTGTAGAAATGAAAAGCCAGCTCCCATTACCATACAAACCACAGACTAGAAATTCTTATTTTATGCCTCAGAAAAAAAACATTTAGTTCAATCTCTATTTTTTTTTCTTTTGTGAAGATGTGCCAGCATATTTCATGTCCTGCTAGAAAAATCAATATTCTGTGAGATACCTAAACAATTTCTTTCAAAAGAACACCTCTAATTCTCTTCCCTCCACCTTACCCATGCTGTTTCTGGCCTTGGTAGATGTGCGCTTCAAAATTTCCCTCACCTGCAAAAAAGAACAGTGGGATAACACACAGATCCTCTTTTAGCATGAATTTAATCATGGAATTAGCAATAAAAAGAAGTTCTAAAATAGGTGGCTTCTGCAGTGTTCATTTGCACAAATATTTAAATAATTTAGCAGATTTTATTATTGGATTATCTGCCCTAACAATTGTGGGCTAAATCCTGCTGTGTCAGTCCTTATAGAAGTATTTGAAGTATAAGGACTATATGGAAGGAAATCTAGTTAAAGATTAGGAACAGTGCTGAAAAGAGCTTTGAACAATCAAGAGGAGTCAGTAGACTCCCTGCAGAGCATTTCCCATTCCTGAAACACCGTGCAGCTCCAAAAAGGAATTCCTTACATACATATATGTCAAGAATTAGTGTTCTGCAAGAACACAAATGCATGAATTCATGAAATTAGCAAATTTGAAACTAAAACACTCCCTGCAAATCCCATTCAAAACCCCACTAGCAAATCCCACTCAGTACAAGAAGATAAGGATCTGTTATTTTTATTAACTTACTATTCGGCTGCGGGTTGCATTGTCAAAAAAGGTGTCTTTGTCTTTGATGTTATACCTAAAACATTGAGAAAAAGAAAATCAACTCTGTTTTAAGGCATGGAAGCAACAAATAAGACAACATACAGGATTCTAATTTAGAAGTTGCTCAGAAACCACAGCTAATCAGAAAAACAGACGTTTAAAGGAAATATAGATGACATAGTACAGCATAATAGAACGTGCTATTTAAGACCCAGTCATCCAGAACTCTACCAGGATTGCACTGATGGTGGGCATAAAAATGCAAAATTATTAGCTAATATAAAAAGCCTCACTATTGTTTACAGAAGATGACCTTTTAATATTTTTCTTATAACATCCCCTCAACACTATAACATGCTTTTATTATGTTATTATGTTATTATTTTATCTTTATTATGTTATTATATTATTATTATATTATTATTAAATTATAATATATATATTATAAATTTATATAAAATTTATTATATTATTAAAAATAGATATTATATTATATTATATTATATTATATTATATTATATTATATTATATTGTATTTTTATCCCCTCAATACTATAACATTATTTTATTATGTTTATTATGTTATGTTATTAAGTTTCAACCAACCTGATGCAGATGTTGATTACTCTTTTCCTGGCCACTAAACACTCAGCATATCACTTGATTTCAGATAACCATTCCACTGGAATTATGCCTTCCCTTAAACCTCATCATATGTGAAATTAGCTTCCCAGTTTATTCTCCTCCATCAATTTGACTCGTATTCAGAATTAGTTAAAATTGTCAGAGGGCAATAAATGAAATGGTGGATCACTGTATTTATTACTGAATTTTATTTATTGGACATAAATACAAGGAGACACCCAGGAGGAAAAGAGAGTGTTTCATGTCAAACTGGACCCAGAAATATTATTCTGAGTGAAAGGGCAGGTGTCAAGAATTCCTTATCTGTATATTATTAGCTGAGTTTTAATTGCTACAATAAATCTATCAAGATGGAAAATACCACTGTATTTCTACTAGCTCTTGCTTTTTTCAAAGCAGGCTGTAATATCCTTAACCAAATAATCAGGAATTTGGTGGGAGGATTTCTACTTTTCAAGCTAAACATATGGAAATTTTATTTGATGCACGGCTTCCAGTGCCTTATCCTGCAGAAGTAGAACACTGGCAGAAAAGTCTCTGCAGCTTAGATTTCTGTTAATCCACTGAAAATCTGACAATTTTGGATGTTTCCTCAGGATTTCCAGATATGATTGATGAATTTCTGAATTTTGACTGAAATGTGGGAAAAAGAAATTGCAGCACTAAAACAATACGTTCCAGCTTTCTTCATTGTCCATCAAATTTTAAAGTACTCACAAATATATTTTCTCTCTGGAAAATGGGTAGGATAAGGTTTTCATCTTGGTATTTTCTTGTCGTGGCACCTGGGGTTGCAGAGGTTCAGTCAGTTTGCACCAAATTTCATTTAACATTTTGAGTATTCCCTTTTCTTCTGTGATTTCATACATCTGAGGAAACAAAACTGTACATCAGCATGTCCCTTCCAACATTACACTAAGATGAAGAAAGGATTTGCTGTACACATATGTTTAAACCTGTAATTAAAATAAGTGTCTTCTCTGAAGACATATTCCCATATAACCTGAATTCCATATGGGTTGCAGTTCAAAAAGTTCTTGTCTCTCACAGCTGCTTCCAGAAAAAAACCCCACACAATTCAGTGCAAAATTGTTAATACAGAAAAAAAGACCAGAACCACTTCTTCACGCAGAGGTCCCAAGGCTTTTGTGCCTTTTATGCCTTATTTGGCGTCGTGTCTAGCGGTAGGTTCCGGAGTGGCCGTGAGGGTGGAGGTGAGGACGGGAAGGCGATGCTGCGCACTCCAGAGCGCTGCTGAGGGAGCGAGGGGCGCCTACGGCCATACCATATGGGTATACAAGGTCCCTTGTTTTGCCTGGACACACCACACGGGCACCAGGACTGGCCGTGGCCACAAGGCCCCATGGACTTCTGAACATCCAGTGGATACTGATGGTCCCTTAAAAATTCAGTGGCCTCAAATGGAAAGCCACAAACTGTTCCCACAGCTGGAGTCCTCTGCCTCAGGACCAGGTAGTGCAAGATTATTAATATTAAAGACTGAGGCAAAAAAAGCATTGAAGGCCTCCATTTTTCCATCATCCCTGTTTGTCAGGTGACTATTTCCAACAAGTATTGGTCCAATGTTTTCATCACACCTTCTCTTGTTATTAACATACTTTAAAAAGTCCTTTAGTTGTGTGGCACAACACTGGCCAGTTTCAACTCTAGATGAGTTTTGGCCTTTTGTATTTTCTCCTTGGACATGTGAACCACAGCATTGTAAACTTCCTGTGAGGCCTGGCTTTGTTGCTAGAGATGGAAAATTTCTTTTTCTTCTCAATCTCCATGAGGAATTCCCTGTTCAACCAAGCACTCATGGAGCACTCAAAAACAGATTCCCAGGGACCAGTGCTGAGTAGCTCCCTGAGTGGTTTTGAGTTTACTCTCTTGAAATGCAGAGTAACAAGTCTGCTGACCTTTTTTTTCTCATTAGACTGAATATTTTAAACTCAACCATTTTGAGGTTGCTGTAGCTAAGGCAGCCTTCTACAACCATATGTGCCACATATTCTTCTCTATTCACAAGTACTCAGTCTGGGAGGGCATCTTTCCCAGCTGGCTCATTTTGTGGCAAAGTATTACGTTGAGCATTCTTCAGGAATTTCTCAGACTTACTTGTTACAGCAGTGCTGTATTCCCAATTAATGTTTGGGAAGTGGGCATCAACCATAAGAAAAAGAAATTTCTCCTGGTTGCCTACAGAATAATTCCTCAGTCCTATACAACACCCAGTGACATCTGCCTTGTTTTCCATCCCCCCAACCCTCACCCAGAAGCTGTCAACCTTATAATCCCTTAACTGCAGCTTTTCCTTTCCATACAGGACAACTCCTCCACTTCTCCATCTCTGCCTATCCCCCTCCTGAGAAGCCTTTACTTCCCTATCCCAGCACTCCAGTCACAGGATTCATTCCCCCAAGACTCACTAAAACCAGAGACATCACAGCTCAGGCCACAAAGCAACCCTCCCAGTTGTTCCTGTTTGTTTCCTGTACTCATGTTTGAGCCTGGCATAGCCTCACTCACCAAAAAAGCTCTATTATCATATCCAGAAGTTTATATATAGTTAAAAGGGCTCAGAGAGTACCTTTTCCCAGCATGTTTTACATTCTGAAAGATGATTTAAAACTGAACATTTGGAAAAAAATATTTGTAACCAGTTTGTGTTTAGAGGTGGATAAATACTTTTCCCTGAAAATGCCTTTTTTTTATTTTAATGGTTTAATAAGATCCTTGAATAAATAAAAATAGCATCACAGAAAATACCTAGTGTGCCTTGAGAGCAATATCTTGTATCTTTGAACAAAACCAGAACTTTCCTTTTAGTGGTTACTGGCTGATTTTTTTTTATTTTATTTTGCCAAATCCCCAAAATACAAGATTTCAGTTTTTTCAAAGTGGATTTTTTTTCCTTCAAAGGAAATTCCTCTTTTGACTGTTTTTAATTTCAAAAAAACACCCAAACCCTAGGACATGAATAGAGCTTCCCTGTCAAGCTTGTTTCTTGCAGTGCTGTCATTTCTACAGCTAGAGATACCAGAGTATTTTTTTTTTTTTTTGAGGATAACAGAGGATTTTTTGTCCCAATCAAAGGAGAGAAGGGGATACAGAAATGTTGTGAATGAGGAGGGTGGCATCAGAGATTATCAGCTCCTGGACAGACCTTAACCCAGGCCAAAATGATGACAATATCCACCAATTGAAATAGTGTAAAATTTACTTTGGTGCATCTGCAAAAAACTTGGAGAGGAAAATTCCCATGAGGGCAGAAGGAGGGAGAAATAAGCAGGCACTAAAAATGCATAAAAGGAATTAATTTTGGAAGAATTCAAAGAGAGGAGTTGAACATGTAGAAAGTTTTTAGGGGTACTGCAGCTGTCTGAAACCTACTCATTTTCAAAGATTGATTGAAAATATCCTTTTTTTTTTTTCCCCCTTGGAATGCAAACACATTAAGAGTACAAAAGATTTATTTGGCCAGGTTGTAACAACCTGAAACATGAACCACAATGAAGTTTTTAATGGGTGAAAACAAGATGAAAAAAGTAAAACAAACAAAGATCAAACAACACAGTGGGAGAAAACAAAAACATTTTTTTTCCTTTATTTATAATGACAATGCAAAGAATAAGTAAGTGTTCTTTGGTACAGTTGATGAGTATCACTAACTAAAAGCACAAGGCAGTTTCCCTGACTCCAGTGGAGTTGTTAACCAATGGACTAAATAATTTCAGGAACACAGATTGGGGGATTTACTACTCAGAATTTACAAGGTTTGCCAGCAACTCTACTGGAGACAGACAGAAAAGAGAGTGAGCTGAAGTTTTAGTGAAAACAGGCAAGTCTGAATTCACTGAGTCACTGATACCACCAAAGCAGATTTTCTGGGGAGAGCCTCTCTCTCTTTGGAGAATCTTAGGACAGTGACCACTTCCATAGTACCTTCCATACTACCCCAGTTCTTGACAAGTCTTCTTGACAAAAATCCAGACAGCTCCTGCCTTCTCAGCTTTCAAAGCCCTCTTTAACACTCACCTCTGTCATCACCCTCCTGAATGCAGTCCATCAGCCAGCTGCCTCTGTGGCCTTTAAAAACCCCTTTGGAAAGCCCATCATAAATATAGCTCTGAACAGTAAATCATCTTAATAGACTTAGAAATGTGAAAAATAAGCCTGACAGTTCATTTTCTCTGATTTTTGAAACAAAGTAACTCCACAGGCTTCTACACATTTCATGATTATTCTGATCCCTGCTCCTTCAATCATAAAACTTGTTGATAGAAAATGGGAGATATTTACCTTTTTAGTGGGCATTTTTATCTTTAGAAGTTCTGCTTCTCGACTGAGGACTTGCCAAGGTGCATGTATACGGACAAAACTCAGTCCTTGGCTCTTGCTCTGAAACATAAAAAAGGGAAAACAATGTATTTAAATATTCTTGAACACAATATAGTGATAATATCTCAAGTTGTCAGCTCCAACTCAATAGTTCAACAGTAGGCAATAATCACAGGGAATAACCAACTTGTGCTACAGCTGGGCTGCAAAGTGACATTTTCCTTAAAAGCTGAATCTTTTATGCTCTAAAACCCATTAATCCACTGCCGCCAGTGTAGCTGTGTGTGCAGCAGGATGACAGAAAGCTACAGGTCTAGATTTTGGAATTATGTGAATGAGAAACCCCCAAGATACAGCTTTTTTTTGTATATTGATATTTTAGAATGGATCTGATTTCTTTAGTGGGCTTTTGTGTCCATCTGAACCAACAAGATCAAAAAAAATTCTCCTGATCTGGGTGGGTTTCGCTTAAGCTCTCATTTTCAGTTTTGCCCAACTATTTTCCAGATGCTTCATCAGATTAGTGGTTCCTTACAGGGAATCAGGCCCAACATTGTTGCCCTAAATATCTGCAGCTGGAGTAGCAAACCTAAAGAAAACATAAAAATTTAACTTCTTAATAGAGATATGAGCCTCATGTGTATGTAAAAGGTTGGTTATGCTTGTCAGTAGCATAAAATGCCCAAAAGAGCTTTGGCACAGCCAATTTTTTGCAAGCTGTGCAAAAGATGTCCTGAAGCACATCTGTGCTACCTGAAAGAGGTACCTAGAAAGGCACTCTGAGAGCAGAAAGCAGCACCCCTGAGAAAAACACGAAAATTAAATGAAGGAAGGTCCAAACAGTGTTTTCCTCAAGGCACACAAATAAATTGTAGCAGTAAATGACAGGGATAAATGCTTATTGTGGAAATGTATGGAAGAAAAGTTGGGAGGAAGATTAGAAAGGGAATATCAGAGAAATCAAGGCAATGACCAGCTCTCACACTATCTCCCATACTGCACCTCCTCTTTGAGGGAATTTTCTTGACAAAAATCCAAACAACTCCTGCCTTCTCAGATTTCAAAGCCCTCCTGAAAACTCTCCTCTGCTGTCATCCTCCTGAACGCAGACTGTCAGACCATATCCTTTAGGGAAGGACATGGAAGTGGACACAAGAAGACTTTCAGGAGGAATTTCTTCATTGAAATTGTGGTCAGGCATTGGAAGGGGCTGCCCAGGGAGGTGCTGAATCCCTATCCCTGGAGGTGTCCAAGGAATGACTGGATGTGGCATTCAGTGCTCTGGGCTGGATGACAAAGTGGTTACTGGTCAAAGGTTGGACTCAAAGATCTTGGGAAGTCTTTTCCAACCTCAGTGATCCTGTGATTCAAAGGCTTGATTAATGCTAAGATTAATGATCTTTGTATGGTTGCTTCCATCTTTATGTAAACCCCAAACATGCATTTGCTGAATATGTCCTTATGCTTCCTGATTAAAAAAACAAAAAAGTTAGATGGAAATCCTACTATTGTTACAATCACTTTGCTCTTATTTCACCTATAGGTGCACCATGAGTGACAAAAATCACCCCCTCGCCTTCAGCTAACATTTTTTCAGTGGACAATGCTATTTTATAGAGCAGAATGAGCTGCAGAATCTCTATTCCATCAATCCACTGGGGAAGTCAGCTTTAATAGAAGGAAGGAAAAATTTACTGGGCATGAGCAGATGTTCTAGTAATCATTTACTGAAAATAGATTAATAACAGATGAGAGGTTAAATTTCAGTGGATGAAGATCAGGAGTTTCTTCTGAGCTTTTGGTTAAAATCAAGCATGTGTCCCTGTCTGGGGGATTATATTCCATGTTGGCAAGAGGAGGGACAGTGTGACCTAATTGGTTGCTTCCAGCTCAGGCTCATATGACTACACAGATTGCAAATAAAATTAGGCAAATAATTTGATTGAAAAGACCAGATGAAGAATATGACCCTTGTATGTTTGAACAAAAATAAGTTGGAAAGTTGTGCTGTTCATGAAGTGATATCAGATGACGAGGAATCAGACCATTAAAAATCTTTAAAAGGCTTTAAAAAACACCCTATGATGGGAAATTGAGGTAATTTTAATAAACACTAATGCAAAGTAGATGAAGTAGGGAAATCAGGACTAGGTGACTCCTGCTGAATGGTAAACAAAAGATGCAGAACAATGGTTTGCTGGATGTTAACCCTGGGATTACTAGAACTACCTCTCCCACATCTTCCTAACACTAAAATTAATCAAAGAATTTTAAAATAAATTTGAAAACATCAATTTCATATCATAGCTTGAGAGATGAAACATCTAGCTCATTTTCTATGGTCTCACCAAAATAAAAACCTATAGAACTACTCCTCTGGTAAGATTCCTTTCCTCACTTTTCCAGGCTTCACTTGCAGCAGTTCCAGGTGTCTTTAAATGCCCTTTTTTCCTTATGATGTCTGCCAAGGATCTGCTCAATTAACTTATTCCCAGAGGGCTTCTTGTATTGCAAACATCTCCAAAAGTTAGAACTTGCTTTTCTCCTTGCCAGAGTGGATTTATGACTGTTTACTGGAGACACCCCCTAACTGCTGTCCTCTGGTTAATCACCTGAAATGATAATTGTGCACATGCTCATCATTTTGATCTAAAGAAATGCTGTCAGTCTTCTATTTTGAACGCTCAGAATCACTCCTGCTGATTCATTGTACTCTGGATGCGTCACTAAAGCCAACATGTGTTGCTGGCAAACATTGTTTTTGTTAGACCATTCACTTGTTATTTAATACAGCCATCCTTAATCGAGTCCTTTTTCACTTGCAGCTGATGTCCCACAGGACTTTATCCTTGGCCCTGCATTGTTCCATATCTCTATAACTGCACTCCCTGATTATATTATTTAAATTAATAAGTATTCCTAGGCAGATGACAAACAGATTTGTCGCTCTCATGATCCCTTTCTTTTTCCTGCCAAATCTATATTCCATGTTACAGAGCTCTTCCAATAAGTTTCAAGAGTGGAAGTTTTTCAATAAATTCATTCAGAATTATTCAAGATATAAATATATCTTGGCTGCTTCTCTGTTTTCTGAAGCTGAATTCAGTTTTCCCATTTCAATAGGAAAGCTCAGCATTAAAGTCAAATGGAAGAAAATCTGGGAAGTCTGCTTTGCTTTTCAGTCAGCACATGAAGAAAAAGATATTGGGTGCTTCTTTCAGTTTATAATGATTCTTAGCAGTCTAAAGCAGAGCTTTAACAGAAGCCTATATTGCATTTTTTTTGTCTTGGACTGGAAGTGTATAGGCTGAATAAAATTCAAATTTCTCCAAAGGAGACTTTTTCTATCTTTTCTGCCTTAACAGTAAAACACATTTGGACCTGCATCAGCTGCAAGTCTAAGATTTATTGCAAACTTATTGCCATCAAAGCCACAGCAGAAAAAAAAATATTACAACTACAGAAATTCTCATATATATATATAAAGTGATTATTCTTTTTACTGAAAACTGAACATTCTGAAACATGGCTAGACAAGCATAACTAAGCAAAACTGAATTTATTTAGGCATCTCTAATATGAGCTAAATCATACGATACTAAAGGCATCAGGTTTGTCAGTCACTATCAAGCCAAGAAAGGTCAAAACCAATGATTTTCTTTTGGAAGAGCCCCAGGCTTTTCTTTTTTTCTTTTTTTTCTTTTCTTCTTTTTTTTTTTTTTATGGTGAGCATGCTGTTCCTAGGAACTTTGCAACTACAGAATTCATTGCTGAATGCTACAGCTTAGTAAGTATTTCTCATTATTTCCTCATCATGAAATCACTAATCACTTCATATTTAAGGAATTCAGTTTATAAATAATTTATATATTAAATAGATATTTTTAAATACTTGTCCAAAGAAAAATATTTCTGTTGTGTATCTTAACAGGAAGAAAAAGTAACACCAACAAAGAGTAGAAAGAAGATGAAAAGAAGCTATGAACTAATGTCTAAAGGAGTTCAGGGAACTGCCAATCTCTCTAACGATTTTTTTTAAATGTGCATAGGAAATGGAAAAGGCATAAATCATAAAACCAGAAGCATGTAAACTTCTTAGAAAAAAACCCCAAATAACTGAACTTTAAACATTTTATCCTTCAGTGATTATTAAATAGACAGAAATATACCAGGCAGCAATATTTTAATGGATCCAGTTAATATAACGAGACAAGTTTTGGTAACGTAGACACACTGGGAAAGTGACAGAGAAACAGTTTGTAGTGAGGAAAAGAAAAGACAGGTCCTATTAGCTCAGCAAAAGTAATCATATTCCCATTAATTCCATCACCAAATGGATCCATCATGTCTGCAAATGCCATTGTTCAAAATGAATGTCTGCTCTCCTGATACCAGCCCTGGAAATCGAGGCAAATACCAAAGTGATGTGCTAGTGCAAATATAAAGCAATTTATTGTTATTATCACAGAACTGTGATCACCTTCATTTCACAAGAGCAGAGCCAAGTGCTGAGCCATTGGCCCCCAGTACAGGTAGTACTGGATTGCATGACACAGCACTGCCAGATTCAGGCAGAGGCTGCAAATGTGGCTGTGTTTTCTGCCAAACAGATTGAATTTCTATCCAGGAAACTGTGTGTTTCTGTTCCTAAAGTTTTGTGTCCAGGATACAAAATCAGTCCATCACCAATGATATTGTGGGCCAGTTCCACTAGTAAAAGGAAGTGCAGGGCACTGGTCCAGGTGAGACAACAACAGCCAGTGTCCTGACATAGACATGTCAATTCAGAGCAATTATCTTATGGTAGAGACTGTATCCTATAATTGTTGGCTGGTAATTTAATTCTGCCTCTTAGTCTATGAATACAATGGAATTTCCCTCTATCAAAAAGCTTTTGTGAAGATAAATATGTTCCAGATTGAGAAGTGCACAAATAAGGCAACAAACTAATAAGACACTATGGCTATATATTATGCATCTTATAATTTTCATACTTTCCTTCACAAAACTGTAGCTCTTTTACCTTTGCCAAACTTTCCCCTTTCTATTATCATTATTTC